TGCAAACGGTTCGATTTACGGTTCGTGAAAGGACTCTTCCTCGAATTCGCTCGGATTTACCATCCATCTCGGCTATGGTTGTAGCTAGCAGCGGTGGTTGGGTACAAAATGCCAGTTCGCCCGCTGGGCAGAACAACTCCAATGTGAGTCAGAACAACACGCCGAACAATAACAACAACAACAACAACAACAACAACAATAGAAAAACAACATTAGTAATAGCGACAAGGATGACCGCGAAAGGCGTGCTGATCTGCCGGGACAATTCCCATCCCTTCCAGGAGCGCACGTTGACGTTGGAACAGCCGATGAAGATCGGCCGTTCGGTGGCCAGGGCGAGAGCTGCGACGAACAACGCGATCTTCGATTGCAAAGTGTTGTCCAGGAATCACGCCCTCCTCTGGTACTCCTCCGGTAAGTTTTACCTGCAGGACACGTGCAGCAGCAACGGCACGTTCGTTAATAATCAGAGACTCAGCGCTTCCGGGCTGGAGTCAGCGCCCAAGGAAGTATGCTCCGGGGACATAGTGCAATTTGGCGTGGACGTTGTGGAGAATACGAAGAAGGTCACCCACGGGTGTATAGTCGCGACCTTGAAGCTGTACCTGCCGGACGGAAAGGAAGCTAAGGCCAGTCTGAGCACCTCCGTCAGCTCACCCGCTGGGAACGTGTCCCTGGAGGATCTTTACAAGCTCAATCAGATAATGCAGGAAGCGTCGAGACGGGAGAAAGCCTTGTATTCTAAACTGGGCTACTTGCAACAGCTGGTGGAAACTACTCGGAAAGCCGCCAATCAATCGTGGAAGGCATTGATCACGGAGGATCGTCTGTTGTCGTGGGTGATGACCGTGGAGAGTCAACTGACGGTGTATTCTAAGAACTATACCGAGGATAAGATCAGAAACGAGCTTGCGAAGCTTCAGGATGAAAAGGCGCAGTATCAGAATGCTGCTAAGGAGGCGTTGCAGAAGGTCTTGCAGGAGAAACTGGAGGTCACTCAGAGATTGGTACAATTGGAAGGACGTTTGAACGAAACGGAGGAGGAGTGTCAAAGCCTGCACAACGTAGCCAAGTATACTCAAACGGAGCTTCAGGAGCTCAGCGCGAAATACGCGGAGGCGCAGAAGAAGCTCCAGGAGACCACCAGCAAGCTCATGGAGAGCGAGGAGAAGGTGAAGGACATGTTGCTCAGTGCGGAGCAAGAGAAACGGGATATCTCAAAACGGCTCGAGGATCAGTCGAAAATCGAGAAGAATTTGCGGGCGAGGTTGCACGACTCGCGATTAGATTCCGTCAACATCTATAAGCAAATCACCGCTTTAAGAAATTACGCACAGACTCTGCAAGATATGAATCTAAAGCTGGAGGTCGGCGAGAATTTTGACTCGAAAGACGAGGATCCCATAGAAGCTATAAACGCTATCCTTAACAAATTGAATTCCATTCATGTCGATAATATGGATGTGGACAGTGAGATTAATTTTTACTTCAACAAGAGCGAGCAAGATAATCAGTTTAATTCGTCAGATGTCGATCCGAAGCTAAAGTCCGATTTATCTTTTACCAAAGACCAGATGGACGATCTGCAGACGGCCGACGATAGTCTCACGGAATATATTCTACCACCGTCGTTATCCAGGCGAACCTTAGTCAATGGAAATCTGGGCAATTTGGACAACGGCGATACTAACGGAGACTCCGACACAAACTCGGAAGCGACCGATGACGCGAGCAGTGTTACAAATGATGATACAAGTGAGAAGAGCGTTATAGAGAATAAGAAGGAAGAGCTGGACACAGTGGAACAAGAGTCCATGCAGACATTTGTGCCCTGCAAGATGGAGGTGCGATTCGCGAACACCGAAAACGATCAACAATCTGAAGTATATCACGAGCCAATAAAACAAATTGCCAAAGACGATAAAGTTGTTGAAGCAGGTGTCTCTATAGACACCGAGGATGCGTTAGACAGTTCTATCGTTGATCCTGTGATAAATAAGGTCGACAAAAAAGATCAACAACAGGATAATAATATTGTGCCGGATTGTGAAGAGCGCACGGAAGGAGATTACGTTAAGACTTTAAAACCCATCACGAAGAACGACACTATACAGCAAGCCTTCCATTCCAGGGACTACATCCTGCAGACGTTGATCGGTTCTATGGATTCGTTAAGAGGGGAAGACAGCCTGGAGGCGCGGCAGATAGTGCAACGAGAGCTGGAGGAATTGAAGGACTGGCTGATTCGCGAGCCGAACGAAATCGTCATCGACAGGCTGAAGGAGCTGTATTACCGCGCGAAGAACGAGGCGCAACGGATGCAGGAAGTCAACGAGGAACTGGTTATAGTGAAAGAAAAGTGCAACGCGTTCGTCGAGGAGAAAGCGGAACTTTCGAAGAAATACATGTCTCTCAAATCGCAGTGCGGTGATCTGCTCAGTACGACTTATACCGTGCCAATACACTACGTGGCACCTATCGTGATCATGCTGATGTGGATGCTGTTGGAGAAAATATTCTAATCGCGTCTCTCTCCCCTGCCATTTAACATTCTTTTCTGTACATATAACACGCGCTACGACAAACGTTTTAGTCTTTCCACTTCTCTTCATTCTTTTACAATATTGACTGTAATTGATTGTAAATTATGTTAAGCTTACCCGTTTCGTCGTTTGGAAACGACCATATCGAATTTGATGTTTTTTTATACAAACAGTCGTTAAGAATTGTGTGTACATATATATATATATATTTGTTTAATTTCCCGAATCGAGTCTCGGGGTTAAAGATAAGGAGTTTCTCGTTACAAAGTGCGATGTTAAGAATAGAATGTGTCGCGTTAATACGCCTTACAAAAGGGAGAAGCAAGATCAAAGACGAGGAAAAAAAATTGTTTATTGAATGTATATGTATGTATATCTCGAACACGGAAGCTCGACTTATGCCTAATTTTTTCACTTCCAGATAAGTTGCGGATAACCTTATTCAGGAGATATCTCCAGGATAAAGTTATCCAGCGGTGAAGAAATTGGGCGTTACACTCTCTAAGGAGTAAAAGTAGCTGGAGGAAATGTAGGCACGATACCACGTAAAATGTTCAACATGCTGCCAAGCTGCTGAGTATCATATCTCATAATATGGCTCAATTTTATAATATATCACATATTTTTTTCCGTTGCATGTCAATTTGTTTAAAAATGATATATTTTTTTCTCCATAGCGTATTTTAAAGATTAAAATATGTATCCTTCACTAGAATTTTTACGAGAATACTCTTTTCATATCGCGTCTCAAAAACACACGCACATGTATTCTCGTTTTCAATTGTTCCATATTTTCTTCGTACATACATTTGTATATAAGTGATCGTAGAAAGCGAATTTCGAGATGATACCTCATTGTACTCATCTCATTCGAATCAAGTAACACGCTTCTTCTTTAAGTTCTTGTTGAGGGCGACTCAAAAAGTTGAGAGCGACCTTTGCAGGGGAGTGAGAGAGAAAGAGAGAGAGAGAGAGAGAGAGAGAATTGATCGTCGCGTTTACGTATATATTAGCATGCGTATATTAAATATGTTGCGTTAATCTCGCGTCTTTTCTGATCATAAATCCATCATTATCAAGCGAAAATTTAATCTTACAAAGGAAATTTCACAACTTTCCGGAACCGATTTGATTCTCCATGAAATATGTTGTTAAACACAAAAATCTAAGGGACACGTATTTTCTTATACGCTAACTCATGTTTAAGGAGTGAAACACCTCTTTTGAAAAAAAAAAAGGTATTTCTATTTCGAGCCGAATACCGTCGGAAGTATAAAAGATGGAAAAAAATTTTTTAAACAAAAGTTGTACAATTGTTAAACAAAGGTTTAACAATTGTTAACAAAAAAATTTTTTTTTATTTTTTTTTTCTTCACAATATTGAAGTACTCTTGAAACCGTACGATATATCGAGTTTCCGACGATATTCGGCTCGAAATAGAAATACCGTTTTTTTCAAAGGGGTGTTTCACCCCTTAAACATGAGTTAACGCATGTATAAAAAAAATACGTGTCTCTCTTAGATTTTCGTGTTTAACAACATAATATTTCATGGAGAATCAAATCGGTTCCGAACAGTTGTGAAACTTCCCTTGTTAGTCTTGCGGCGAATCTTGGGCCCTCCAACTTTGTTGCACAATGATACTTTAATTTTCCTTCTTTCGTACGTATAAATATTTGGGTAGCATGACAATAGATACACACAAGAGCATATCTGTTCGAGCGACCTAAATGAACTAACAAGTGGATGCGTATGTATTTACTTCTTGAAAGCGAATTTCTCAGCACTCAGTACCGTTCTATCGATCCTACCTTGGAATGGCCTTGATATCGTCTAAATAACGTCTTAAAGCGAGAAGATCCAATATAATCGTAGTTTTCTATATTAATTCTTTTGATACGAAACATAATGGGAAATTGACAGTATTTTCTTAATTCGTTAGTTTAGTTTAGAGAGTGCCATGTCTACTATACCGCATTAGATAACGGATCATTGTGTGTCGCGGCGAATTAGGATGTACGTGACATTTTCCAAAAAAGTTAACGCCGCAAACCGGTCGCTCGCTCGTTTAAGCGAGCTCACTTTCTTGGCAGATCAAGCGTATATATCAAATTATCAAAGTACATATGGTAAATAAAAAAAAAAATGCTGTACATAACAATGTTGATATAATCTTACTACCGATGTAATAGTCATTATACGAAAAGGGGAAATAAAAACTAACTTAATTAATTAAAGAGGATTGTGGCAAGCTTCTTGTACTCTCAAATATCCATTCCATATCCATTTTTCAGTCTGTAGAAATTAAAAAGTAAAATATATGAGATTTTTTGTCAATGTAAATCAGTGGCTTATCACAAGTACGTCGTATTTAGCGTGATACAAGTTTTCTTCCTGGAAGCTAATAATAACGTTATACGCCTTTAATCCATTATCTCTTTTTTTTTTTTATTCAGGGGCGCATATATTAGCCACGCTTAGCCGGTTCGTCGATCGATCAAGGATACAACGGTAACCTCGCCGACGTGCGATCGCTATGTGCCACCGATGAAAAAACTGAAAGTAAAGTTGGAAAGCAGCGAAACATCAGGGACATCAACGGGGCATCAACAGGCGGTCGGGATGGCGGGTGGATTGAACGCGAATGCGACTGATAGCACCGATCCCGCTAATCGGATTTGTCGAGACTTTCTTAGAAATGTCTGTCATCGCGGAAAGCGTTGCAAGTACCTCCATGAGCGTTCCGAGGACGATCCCGTGGAGGAATATACCTTCTGCCACGACTTCCAGAATGGCAAATGTAGCTGGCCAGGCTGCAAGTTCCTGCATTGCACGGAGAGCGAGGAGAAGCGTTTCAGAGCAACCGGCGAATTGCCGCCTCACGTCCTCAATCGATCCAAGATCTGCAACAACGACAAGTCGGATCCGTTTTGCAAGGATTTTCTGAAGGGCAGCTGCCAAAGGGTGAATTGCAAGTTCAGGCATATGAAGAAGGAGGAACCGCAGCATAATCTAATGTCGCCGTCGCTTCATAACGCGGCCAGGCCGCAACACAACTTCAACGGCACTAGCAACGGCGGTGGTGTCGTTGGCGATGGACGCAGATACGAAGAGGACAGAAAGTAAGCACCGTAATTGAATCTATAGATTTTTTCCTCTGATGTAGAAATTTATAACATCGTAATAATTTTGTCTCTTTTCTCTTTGTTTCATGAATGGCAGCTTTCACTGGCAACTGCAAGATCATCATAACAATTTGGTCGCTAACAACGGCGGTTACAACACGTCGCATCCAACCGATTACATCGGACCACCGGAGCCGAAGAGGCGATTAGTATCGGGCGAAGCGGTCGTACACTTCGAAGCCTCTCCAATCGTAGGTCAGCAGCATGCGACTCAACCGACGGTCACGCCAAGTTATTATTATCCCGTAATACCGCGTAACGAAGCACGAGCCATTGTACTGGAGGATGAGAATGCACTGCTGAGAAAGAAAATAGAAGAGTTAAAGAAGCAGGTATATCAGAGGGAGAAAAAAAGAAAGAAAAAACACAAATACATCTGAAATATTGATTTTGCTTCTAACTGTGTATACATTTTATCTTGTTCCAGGTTAGCGACTTGACGGCGACGAACGAGTTTCTGTTGGACCAAAATGCCCAGTTGAGGATGTCGGGCAAGCGAACCACGAACGTAACGGCTGTAACGGTCCCAGCAGTCACGATTACGAATACAGTTCCGCCGTCGCAAGCTCCGACACCCCAACAAATGGTCAACGCAGCCGTGGCAGCGGGTACCCTCCGTACAGTCACCGCCAGCGTGGCTACCGTTCCTGTGAGCATCGCGACCGTAGCACCCGTCTCTATCGCGGCGGTTTCTATGGCACCAGTTTCGATACCACCGCCGATCGTCACAATGGCTCAACAAACTATTTCGATGAGCGCCGCTGGACCTCCCCAGGCAACTAATCAACAACCACCGAACACGCAGCAACCCGCCAGTTTGCCCTTATCGATATCTGGCGCGACCGCACCTCTCGTCTCTTACCCTATTATGACGCAAGAACTTAGGCCTGTTTTGCAATAAATTGCGTCATGAGAATAGGAAAAACTTTTATCTCTGATAGAGGATATCTATGTATACATATACGATATACTACCTACTCGGCTATGTAGGCGAATCAAGGATCATAATATGCATCCATCTTCCTCTATGTGAAATTGTACTTCCCTTACAAGTACACTCGAAAGTATACACAGAAGATAGAAATCAGCGGCTGTGGGATGATGCAATGTATCACCGTAGTAAATGATACATTTGTATTGATGTAATATTCTATTCATTTGTGCAAAGATTGGTGAATCGTGAAGAAAACAATTGTTTAATTTAAAACTATTATTTGATTACAATATCGTTTTTCCTTCATCCCTTCGTGTTCGGAATATGTAAAATATAATTACTTTCTCTCTGTGAATAGCGCGATAAGAATATACGATAATATACAACTATGCAATAACAATTGTCGATAATATCGACAACTATATATGTTCAAAGTATGTATAATTGTAGAATAACAGGAATGACAATCTATAATTATGAGATATAGTTACGTCATGACGTACATTATGTTCCTTTAACTCTGTTCTTTTATTTGCGTTATATATCATATGTAGTATCATATCTCATCTCAGTGTAAAGGTAAATTGGAGAATAGTAACAGGCAGATAAGAGCACCGACGAAAAAATTGTAAAATAAGGGAATATAATTAAGGGATATCTCTTTTAGATAATACGTTAACGTAAGTACAAAGAAACTTAGAAGAAAGAATATAAATGTAGTATATTTAAAAAAAAGATATCTAATATAGAAAAGATTCGTGCTTTATTGGTCAATTTGCAGAATCTTGCTGTTCTGTATGGGATATTGTACATAATGTATTCCATTGCCCCTTTATTTACCGAGAGTAATTTTGTACTTCTACTTTTATTAAGCAAATTGATTATATATATATATATATTTCCATTAAATAATATTTTAATTAAGTACTTATGGAATCCTTTGCCAGTTTCGGTAATTTACTTAAACAAGCAGCTTTTTATTAGAATGATTAAGTAATTTACATTTATATCAATATGAATGTATAAATTATACATGATATTACAGGAAATTACAGTGTGTAAAAAATGCGTTGTACACCAAATGGGTATGCATCTGATTTTAAATCATATTGTTAATCACGACTCGACACTTGTATATATTTTGCGATAATTAGCATAAGAAATTGAGCACTATGTACTCGCGTATTTTATATATGCATACAAATGTATAATCTTTTACGTATAAATTTATGTTAAAAAGCACTTTATTAAAAAAGAAGAAAAGACGAATGTGGTTTTTATCTTCAAATATTTGGAACCGCGAGACATCCATGTGACTAACAAAGTTGTTGCAAATTTCAGTTTTCCATTATCGATTAAATAAAAAAAATTTTTTAAAGATGCGCTATCTTAGAGAGAAGTCTAACAACAGTAATAAATATATATTACCCGTTTTTTATTTACATTTATCATTACATAACTGTTTGCATCTAGTTTGATAAATGCACTGTTAATTACACAACTCGTTTACAATCGCATTTTTAATATAGATGATAAAAAAGTTGTAGCGCTAATTGTCATCATAACAATTGTACTAGAGCTGTTTGATCCGAGTGCTCACTAGGTATCTCTTTATTTTGTGTCTCTTATTCTATCATATCAAGTTCTGATTTATATACTCTATATGGCTTTTTTATTGCATAAGATATACATACATAACACATCATGCGTTCCTTTCACATACACATAGATAATTCTTTACATATCCCTTCACCTCATCATTAGCTCTATTATATTGCAATTAAAATTTTATTTTATACAAGAGCAATTATTTGTAACAGAATATAGTTGCAACCTGTGCATCATAGTATACTTTCGTAGAAATCTTTTTTATAGAATAAAAAAATTAAATTTATTACACAACGTAATTCAACAGAGAAAACAGCTTGGCAATTGTAATAAAATTCCTCGACATAAATTGGTTTATACATTTAGATTTATTGAGAGAGAAACTAAGGGCAAGATCAATCATATTAAAGAATTTTACAATAGTTGCCAAGTTGTTTTCTGAATAATTCGTTCAACAAATGTGATTGTTATGCAATCTGCATAAATATATATTAAGGTAAGACGAATTAATTTTCGTCTTAATTAATTATCTGTTTTATGAAAATTTCAATTTTATGAATGCTGCTGTATAAAAGTTAACAAAAATCATACTTGCTTTTATCACGTGACTACGATTTACAGAGAACGTTCGTTTTTGAACTAAATAATTTTGATAGAAAATTTCAGGTTGCAGATAGAGGTTTTGAACTTCTATTCTTTAACCAATACGCGCCAGCTAACAGTACAGTACAACAAAATCCGACTAAAAGACGCAATTTCCAATGATGCTTGGAGGATCGTAATACATTAATCACTTTCACGGTCTGTTCTCTCGTATCTCTTGCACTGCCCGAATTCTCAATTACAAAATTTGCCATCTCTGCTTTTTTTTCCAAGGACATTTGCGCAGCTATTCTTAATTTTGCTTTAGCTTCTGTAAATCCAGTGCGTTCCATTAATCGTTGTAACTGAAGGTCTTCTTCACTGAAAGCCATATAAGTCATAGAGGATCAATTTATAAATACTTAAAAACTACAAGATTCCTTTCATATATTCTCTCAACTTAGAGTATAGAATATTATTTAGCTAAAGCACTGATAATATTTTTAAAGACCGTCAATTTTGGACAATTCTCAAAAATAAAACTGGAGCAAATTGATTGGATTGTATTTAAAATTAGTTGGGACAAAAAGTTAAAAACACTCTCTTAGGGTGATGTATAACTTTAAAAAAAATCAATGTTACTGATATTGGAAGAAAAGAAAACTTAAGGACAGAGCATAGACCTTTGCATAATGTATAAAGCATAAGAAAATCAACTAATCAGATTTTTATTTGATGAAAAGGAAAAAAATAAACTTTGATTAGTTCAGTTTTTGATTATTTTCTTATGCATTATGCACTCTGTGCTCCTATCTTTAATTGGGTTTTTTTTTCACTGTGAAGTTAACCGCTTTTCTTTATTAATTTGAAGTAATTAAATTATACGAATTTTGTCACGTTCTTTAATAGCATCTCATTGGTGATCGTACTAATTGAAATCCATACATACCATGTTACAACTATAATTTTGTGTAAGTAATTCAACATGTGTCCTGTCTCAAAAAGCAACGGTAGATCCATAACTATGAACGGATGACCTTGTAAAAAGTATTTGATAGTCTGCCAGTATATCTCTTTGTATATATCAGGATGTGTTATAGCATTAAGTTTTTTTCTTTTTTCGACATCGTTAAATATTAAATCTCCAAGTTTTACTCTGTCCAAATGTTTGGTATCCAAAAACACATCTGGACCAAATTCCTCTTGTATTTTACGCCATGCTGGTTTTCCTGGCTCAACAACTGGAAACATAAACACCATTTTCTAACATTGCATAACAAATACCTATTTGATGTTGTCGCAAATGATTTATCAATAAATACTTTAAATTCTTGATAAATTTTATCTTACAGCTCTTATCAATATTTTAATTATATAAATTACTGCACAGTTAAACTTGACATTTGCTTTCATTATGCAACTACAATTTACAGTGTTAAATAGATTTCACGTTGATAAAGAAAAATAAATGTAATGTTTATAAAAAAAATATTGTTATATATATTTTATAATATATATTATAAAATTAAAAAACATAACATAAAATATGTATATATATATATATGTGTGTATGTCATTCAAAATTTGAGAAAATATATATATATATATATCTGTCGGCGACGACAGGGTGGACACAGGGTAAAGTACAATACATCTGAATACATCCTAACCTTTTCGAGCAATTACATCGGCATCTATAATAGGAATGCCATGTTCCCGAAAAACAGCAGCAACTGTGCTTTTTCCAGTGGCAATGCCACCAGTCAATCCAACTAAATACATTTCAAAAAATATAATGATGAATCAGCTGTACTTAACAAACGTTAGTGATGTCAGCATTATTCACATCGAATTAAGCTACCCGCACTACTCCTCTACTCTTGCATTATTTTTTAAACATTTATGGAATTATTGAATATAAAATACGAAATTAAGTAAGTCTATCCTGCGAAAGAGAAAAATATCGGAAGGAAAGAGAATTTAATCCGAAACTTTTCCCATTTCCCACTCTGGAGTTAGCCGCTTTTCTTTTATTATATTTTTTTGAACTCTATCACAACAAAGTACAGAAAAGTGTAGCACGGTTGTCGATGAGAACGCGCTTGAAGTATACGTCAGAACTTGAAGTAGCTTTAAAACTGCGCTTAATAGTACTGGGCGTGTGTTTTAGGCTTGCCTCAAATTTATTAATCATCACAACTCACGATCACAACAATCGAATTTTTCACTTTATTTTCATCTCTTCAAATGATATAGCACGATGAAATGCTGGTTATGTATATTCTCTCTCGCAACGTGCCTTATATGGCATGGTAAGTTTTTACAAATTTCTACAAAGTAAAGTCGAGTATTGTACTGTATGTGCAAGCATAAACTGAAGCTAACTTACGATACTTTTCCACTTGATTAATTTAAAAAATTTAATATCTCGTTGTGTTATATTTACATTTTGTTTATTCCTAAGTTATACTTTTATATTTTAAGCCAAAGTGAGTTCAAGTAAGTTGGAGTAAATTTAAGAGATTTCATGTATGTTTTGCTGAATTCATTAAAAATTTGAGTAATTTTATAGAAAAAAATTTACGTGTACATATATTTATTATTAAATGATATTTGATATTAGATTATATAGATAAAACAGTATAATTGCATATATTAATGCTAATAAAATATTATCTGACAGTCGAAGGTCAGAGGGGCTGCCAAATTCCATTGATCATCAGGGGATCTTGGTTTTCATGGGAATCCAAGAGTACCCTAACAGAAATAAACGCTAACAGTATGACTGGACGAGGCATATGTGTAAACATGTTGGAAGAATATCACGTTAATTACACATTCGTGTTTCGAGATTTGCATAAAAGCTGCTATCACTGTGTAAAACTGCTTGTCAGGACATTAAATGTCTTGGAAAAACTCGAAGGCAAGTGACGAATGAGTCTGTTAATTTAAAAACAATTACAGATATAATGAGTGCCAAAAGTATTCATGCAAGGAAGATGTCTTTTAAAAAGATCTTATTTTTTAAGTAAACATTAATTAGCAATTTATTAACAAGGAATAAAATGGACTGTATATTTGTTAAAATTTTTTTATATAAACAGATATGTATTAAAATATATTATCTTAAAAATGAGTGAAGATAAAAAATTATGTTGTTTGATGCACAAAAAGTATTCGTACAATTGAGAAATTTAACTTCTAAGATTAGGAATACATAAAGTTCTTTTGTTTATATAAGAACAGTATACTTATTATATATAAAATTGCTAATTAAAATTTATTTTTTACAATAGAGACTTTTTTTTATAAAATCTTTTATAAAACCTTTTTCCTTTGTACAAATACTTTTGCACTCACTAATAGTTTATTAGCTCATTGCCTAGAAGAGACTTGGTTTACAAATAATATCTTAACCATACAATCCATCCATACCTTATAAATTAATAGCTAACTACAATTTTCGACTAGCATATCTACATTGTCACATCGACTTTTTTTTATTACATAATTCATCTACTTATCACCTATCGCATTAACATTATTTATATCATTATTACATTGTTACTTCAGTTAGTTTAGAAAATTATATAGCAATATATAAATACACAATCCACGAGTATCATCACCGTAGCATTTTGTTGCAGTGACTTGTGTGAACTTGCCCTTTGGAATAGAACCCACTGTGGGTAACGTCTGTACAGGCTTAAACGCGAACCAATACTTAATAACATTATTCTCTGAGAATTACGTGCCTGTGAATTGCAGACCTTCTCTGGAAGGAGTTTGGCAGTTTGCTTATCAAGTAAGATAAGAAAATCTTTATAGAATTATTTATGCCTTTATTGTATAACAAAAATGCTTATCTATATATTATCACTATTATTTCAGAATCGCTTTAGATTTACGGGAGAATGCAATCATCCAGACGCACAAATCAGATCTTGTCAGACTGCGGGATCCCAGTTTCTTATAACCAACCAAAAATTTAATATCACTTACAAGCACTGTCCTGGAATGGAAAATACCAATGACGGATGTAATTAGGCTCTTTTTTTCCTTTTGATAAATGTTTCTAAACTTGTGAAGTATGTCTTTATATACATTTTAATGTTACAAAATACAAATATCGTTTTTTCAGTGGTAGAATACAGTTGCTTGGGTGATTGGTTCGTCGATAAGAATCATTTCTTCGCGGTAGCAAATACCAAGGAGTCACGGAAGGATGAAAAGTATAGATGCTTCTTAAAGAATCGTGATGACGATTTGTACATCGGTGTTTCAATAACCGCCGAATGTAATACTCTCAATACTGTCGAAAAGAGCCCTGAACGTTTGCGGATCACGCCAGTTAAGGCTGAAGTAGTTGAACCCGGTTGTCGATTACCCGAGGATATGTCCGGAGATTGGATAAACACTGCCAATATCGACGCAGATATTTTTATTAACGAAACGCACATTATCGAGACTTGGTATCCTGATGTGGCGCGTTTTCGACGAACGGTTTACGTTTGTCGTGAACAAAGAGACTCAAGAGTAATGATGGCGAGATTGACCGTTGATGGATGGTACGTTTATCAGATTGTTTATAAGAAAAATCTTTTTATTTGCATAAAATTCAGCGAATTTATTAAAATTCTTACGCATATATTGTAAAGATACATATTTAGGCATTAATTGAAATACATTTACAGCCAAAAAGACTACGTTTGTTTTGATTTCGTGCGGCGACATCACAATGTTATTCGATACAGACGTGGAGTGGCTGTGATAAAAGATGATTTCCATACAGTGTGTTCTTGGGTGCAATTTCCTAATAAAGAAGCGTGGAAGTACGATCTGTTTTTAGGTATAATTATAATATAAAATTAACATTTGACCGGTATTTATAGTTGCCGTCAGCACACAACATTAAAAAAATATTTAAAAAAATATTAAATATAGAAATGTTAAATAAACATTTAAAAAACGTTTTTTAAATATTGTATGCTGATTGGGTGGTTCTTATATATAATTACAAGATCTTGAGTATAGTCTTAGAATGTCATAAGTTAATTACAAAGTCGTATTAGCATTTTAAGACATTATTTAGGAGGATTTCGAAATAAGAACGCACTATATGGCCGGTATTCCTAGTCAGTTCTTATAGTATATTTAAAATCTTAAGTACAGTCTTAACTACAATCTCTTAAAATGTCAATCACAGAGCTGTATTAGCATCTTAAGACATTATTTAAAATGGTTTTGAAATGAAAACGGACTATGAATACGGGTTGTATTTCCGATAGAGTAATCAATCACATATTATATTAATTTTAATTTTTCTTAATTTTATTAGCAAAAAATCCCGTTCCGGTACGCTGTCCAATAGCCGGTAAATTTATGTTCCATCAAAAAGGAGATGTTCTATTTGAGACTAGAATTATAGGCGGCGTCACTAAATCTCCGCGACCAAATATTTATTGCAAACAGAATATATCCGACTTTTCGGTTTGCGATAATGATCAAAAGGAGATCGCCATCGACGAAACGTATTGTTTGTCTGTGGATCACTTAGGAAAACCAGTTGATATTTATAGTGAGTTTCATTGATATTTTGTATGTCCACTTATCCTATATAGCATTGTCAATCCTATATAGTATTGTCCTATATCCTATATAGTATTATCAATATTATTATTTTTACAGGCGATCCTGATTACACAATGATATGTATTGGATTTTGGAAAGAAAACTTAAAATCGTATTTAATAACATTTAGCGAATTGGATCCTTATAGCAAATATCGCTGTTGGGTATATCAAAGGGCTGATTTGAATAGAGTGCTCATGTCTCAGGCCATCGGTCCATTTTGCGATCTCACACAAGATGTAACAAGTCAAAATTATACGGAAGGCGCGTCAGTCGCGCTGGAGTTACAGGTAAAAATAAATATCCTTTCGAATATGATGTAAATTCTAAATGAAACTATACTCACTTGTATATGATTCTTTAACAGGAATATGAGCGAGAACGTGATCGGTGTCCGATGTACTTTGATGACGGAAGCAATCCCTGGGAGGGAACGGAAGACACGATAAAGATCTTCCATTTTGGTAGTGGCGGCAATATAAACAGCTGCTTTTCGTTCTTGCTTATCACATTACTAATAGCAGTACTGTGCTTTAACATGTAAATAATTCTTTATACAGGAAAGAATGAAATCGTTCATTGATTCTTTCGATGTCGCGATAAAGATTTCATATCAGAAATATCGCATGTACGCGCTCGTAAACCATTCTCATAATAGTTTGCATCGCGCCAGCATTCCGTCCATATTGTTAACTACACTGCCTTAAATTTTATTCACATCTAAAATTTTGCATGAGTAGATAATACGTAATATGAGATATGTTGACATATCGAAAGTCCGTCCACACGAGAATTATAAAGAATCTTTTATATAAAATGGATGCATTCTGTTTCACGCATTTATTGCATTCATTTCATTATATTCGTATGTATACAAATCGAAATATTTATAGAGACAATTTAATTCCAGAATATTATTTTAAATATTTTTTAATATTATCTTTACTTTAAATATTTTTACTACTTGATAGAACAATATATTTTCAAATTAAGTATAGAAACTAATAATAAATATATTTTTATTATTTTAATTATGTTTAAAAATAGAATGCACTCTTATATTAAATGTATGTTATTAGGACTCTATTTTGTAACTCTTGACCAGGGTTGTTAGCGATCAGGGAAAACCGGGAAAAGTCAGTGAAATTATTATCAAGGAATTATTAACCTAAGGTAAAATTAAATTACTGTCCAATCTTTTTTGCTAACAATCCTGTAATGATGATTGTAAAACGATATCTTTAGTCATTAAAAAGTTACAGAATAGGATTTTAAGAATATTTTGTACAATTTATAAAATAAATACAATTTCTTGTAATATTTTATATTAATAACTTTTATTATTTAATTTATCATATAATGTTTACAAAGAAGAGAATTTATTTAATCTTTAAATACTATAATTGCATCAAGGTTACACAAATATATGCCAGATTTCTCTCTTCATAGAGTTAAACTTAAAACATTCGTAGAGTTAATCCTTAAAACTTAAAAATTTCTCAGAAGAATTCATATTTAAGTTAATCTATTTCATTCTTTTAAACAGAAAAGAATATATATATAAAAAAAATAAAAACTATTTTAAGATATTTAAAGATTAAAATGTCATTATGTGTTTATATTTTTAACTGAAACTAAGACTATTGTTTATATTATATATACATTACAATATACATAAATTTCTTAAGTAACATTGCAGTTTATTTCGTCCAGCTCACTTTAGGTATGTCGAAGTGTTCAGTTAAGCTATCCAGGTGTCGATTAAATTCCTCCACTCGTTGTTTATGTGTCTTGGAGGCTTTCTGCTTAATCCTTTCGGTTTGCTGTAATTTATTGCAAAGTTATGGATTTTATTAATGTCAAGCTTTTTTTGATGTCATTATAGATGCAATAGACTAAATGTGCTTACCATTTTCTCTTGCATTTTTTGGAAAGCTAGCTCCGCTTTCGTCCGCTTCACTTCTACTTTTTGAGGTTTTTCTTCCTCAATGATCTTTGACACTTCCACTAGCTTCTTCTTTTTTCCATTCTTATCCTTTTTCCTATAAAACAAAAACATAGCACTTGAGTTGTTTGATTAATTTATTCCAGTAGAAGGAAAAGAATAGCATTTATTTATTAAAAGAGTCACGCGACGCAACACAAAAGTGAACAATCCATGACAAACTTAACCTCATTCGAGCAAGAACATTAAATGGATGAAATACTTACTTTTTGCTCATTATCTGGTCGTTTTTTAATTTTAGGGTACCCTTCGCAACGTGTACGTATGGATCGTCTTCGTTGTTTGTTGCAGGCATTGTTATTAATTGTTATTAATCGTATATATCAATGCAACGAAAAAATATGCACAGTCCACAAATATTCACAAAGAGCTGTGTAGTGCTGTGTAGGCTGTGTAGAGCTGTGGTCAGCTGTGAGGAAAGCTTGAGGGCGCCACTATGGCTGCGGTTCACTTGACGCTACAAACTCTTCGAAGCGTTTGAGCGACCAATCAGAACAAAGAATTTTACGAATTGACTAATCAAAGAATGCTTCGAAGCGTTTGTAGCGTCGAGTGGACTGCAGCCTATATGAGCGTGGAAACGCGGAAATGCGGAAACGTAACCAATCAGGGTGAAGTCCCATCAGGCATGTTTGCCGCGTATCGCGTAAGCGCATAACCAATCAATAATCAGTAAAACGCGAAACTATAACAGCAGATCGCTTCTGATTGGTTACGCGGTTATGCGATACGCGATAAATACACCCCATGGGACTCCACCCTCAGAAGCGATTATTACGGTTTTTGTGACGAAGTGAAAATTACAAAAATGATCAAATTCACTAAATATTCTAGTAAATTCAATCACTTTTGTAATTTTCACTTCGTCACAAGGAACCGTAATAAGCCCCCTGCTGTTATGGTTTCGCATTTTACCGATTATTGGCTACGTTTACACCGTGCGTTTAGTCCGCGACCTATACGATAGGTGTCTTTGTTTAATATACAGGATAAACAAAGACATCTATTGTTAGGCCGTGGCCTAAATGCACGGTGTAAACGTAGCCATTGATTGGTTGCACGTTTCTGCTTTCTGTGTTTCCGTGCTCATGTAATGTCACCCTTAGGGTGCGTTCACACCTTAACGGAAAAGCAATAACCAATCAGAACTCGCGCTGGTAGTCGACAATTTCGACTTTTTGTACTACTTACTACCAGCGCGAGTTGTGATTGGCCACTACTTTTCCGCTTTCTGCTTTTCCGTCAAGGTGTGAACGCGCCCTTATGGTTCCTGCACACTGGACGCGGAAAAGCTTACCGCGCAGCAAGCGTTTCCGCGTCCAATTTGCAGGAACCATAAGGCCGGAATCAAACTACGCATTGAAGATTGAGGTTGAAGATTGAAAAATTCAAATTTGACCAATCGAAACGAAAGGAGCTAAAATTTTTTTGTTCTTATTGGTCAAATTTCAATCTTCAATTTTCAACCTCAATCTTCAATGCGTAGTCTGATTCTAGCCTAAGGATTTCGTCAAATTTCTTCAAGCGAGTATAGGCTATCTCATTCTTCCACCAATAGCGGTCATCATGCATACACACCGCTATTGGTGGAAGAGTGAGATAGCCCATACTTCTTTCTCGCTTGAAGAAATCTGACGAAATCCTTATGGCCAGTCTCTGATTAAAGGGTCTCTAGTCACCCTGAAAGGAACCATGATAAGAACAATAATTAAATTTCAAAATTGCCAACTGCAAAACAGGATCTGGCAGCTGCGAAAGATGTAATATATATTTGTTATTGTCCCATGATATAACATCAAAGTACGTAAAATTAATTATTTTAATTCAAAATATAACAAGTATTAATTTAAAGTATTATATTTTACATAAATAAAGCATAAAAAATTTGCAGAAAATTAGGATTTTTTTAATTTTGAAGGTGGCAACTCTGAAATAGTCAATCACGTGACAGTTTTTAGGGAGTTTGAAATAAATCCTATAACGTTACGAGTTGGCTAGCTTGTTTAAAAAAATCTTCACCTAACCTGCATAAAATAATTGTGTAAGTATATTCGCGGTTGAAAATTTAAAGAATTTAAAGATTTGTTCGTGCATTTGAATTTAATAATTGCACTTTCCCTCTTGTTTATAATACAAATATCATTTTACGAATTTTTATATGTTATAACATATTTTGGATGACGTTCATATGTAATTACATTTATATAATACATCAATATTTATATGTTTATAGTTTTAAAAAAGCCGTTTTTTTCAAATTGCTGGAAAAAAACAGGAAAAATTTCAGTTTTTTTTTTTTTTGAAAAATTGGTTTTTTGGAAAAATTGCTGTTTTTGCTATGTAAAAGATATAATAAGTAACTTCTAAATTCCTTTATAAACTTAATGCGATCTATGAAATTATGTAGCATTATTTTTATTAAAATTGTTTAGTTATCTCCCCTCCCTTCTATTTTTATAGTAAAACCTAATTTAATCTTCCTTTAATACATGGCAAAACTTAAGTAGACAGATTTTTAACTCTAGTTTGTTACACTCCGGTCTAATGAACTCGTGAAGTATCTCTTTGTAGTTTATTTTTTTTTCAAATATTTTGTTACGAGTTCAGTTTAAATCCAAATTATTTTCTAGACCTACTATTATCATATAAACATGATGTTTAGACTCTATATATTTAATCCTTACATTAATGGTATAATAGTGTATGTTTTATTGAATTTTACATTACCTCAATCTTTTATATAATTCAAAATTTCTATTAACTTATCCTACTATGTACCCTATACATAATTATTTTCTTTACAGAAAGAACTGAGAAGTAAACATAGTAGATTTATACGAGCACACGTGAATTTTTCCAAAATGAATTTTTTTACCCTTAGGAAAAAAACCGAAAAAATCCGGAAAAATTGGATTTTTTCTGATCCTTTAAAACTATATATGTGTTATTTGTATTTGTTGATATATGTATTCTTATAAATTTTGTGTCGATTGCGGTTTTTAGAAAATAACTGGAATGATTTTGTTTCCATTTCAGCTCCCACTTAAGAAAATGTGGCCCTTAATAGTGAGATCCATGGGCAGATTTGGTAAATACATTACACTTCCTATTGTGGGTATTATTGGATTTATTGGATATAATGTGGAGGGATGGATATCTGATCGTTATACACCAGCGACAAAACCTATCACGCAGCAACGGCAAGAAAGGCTACTAGAAAATATAGATTCGTCGACTACCAAGAAGAAACACAATCCTTTAGAAGTTAATCTTTCGCCGTCGTTGTCTAGTTAGGTGTGCATTTTATTATAATTCCAATACGCGGAAAATAATTACAACAGAAAGTCTGAATAAAATGTTAGCTAATATTATAAAAGTTTATTAAGTTTGACAATATAATTACAGATGTTTGTCTTTTTCTTTATATAGTTATCAAAATATAAGGAGTCGTTACTTTTTTTTCTTGACACTAAGAGAATATTATAGCGTTTTTCACCAGCAGAACTCAGTACACATTAAAGTTGTACAAATGTATTGAGGATTTCATGGTTTAATTCATCTCTATATTTTTATTGAACATCTTTATATTGATTTGTGTATAATGTGGATTTATAGTGCACTGAGTGCACACTAATTCTATCAATGAAAATCGCTATTATATGCAGATTTTTGCGGTAAATATTTTGAATAGAAATCAAAGCTCAAAAACTGATAAATGTATACATACATATATATATATAGTCTAGAATATATATATAGTCTATATATATATAGGCTAGAAATAATCGTTATCGTTACCCCAGTAATGTAACATCATTACTCATTCGTTATCGAAAAAAGTAACTAGTAACAGTAACGATGTTACAAATAACGCGATAAAAGATTAATTATTATTAAATATTTGTTTAATTTTTAAAAGTTTATAGCAGAAAATGGAAATGCATTGATTAATTTTCTACTCCAAATTTGTACACGACAACATGATTGTATGTATCGCCTGATCGCAGCACACTGTTTGGGAAGTTTTTATGGTTTACAGCGTCAGGATAATTTTGTGTTTCCAAGCAAAAAGCGGCGTGTCTGAAGTACTTTGCTCCGTCTTTGCCCACAATACCATTTTCAGGTGCAGAATTGGTCGTGTAAAGCTGAACACCCGGTTGATTCGAGTATACTTCCAAGCGGCGTCTCGAAGATGGATGCACTACTTTGGCTACGAAATTGACTTTCCCATCATTGCACGATTCCGGCAAGCAGAAATTGGAGTCATAACCGCCGCCCGGTACTTTGTCAATGACATTACCAAGCTTTGTTGGATTCCTTAGATCCATTATGCTGTTTGCAACTGACCGAATCTCGCCGGTCGGAATGCTCTCGGAATCCGTGACAGTCCAGCGATCGGCGTTCATCGTGATCACATGTTTATACAGTTCTGCTGCGTTTGTGGCCTGAAAAACGAAATGAATAATAATCCGTAACACTTTCGTCACGATTGATCAATTAGTTGCCTAGCAAAGACATTATTGTATCTGTGATATAATTACAAATGGAATTAAGTTAAATCTGTTACTGTTTTCTCACATGATGAGTGCAATATTTGTACTTTCTACAATAAGCCGTTAATCATCACTCGTACCACATTAGTGGTAAGTCAAAATTATAAGTAAAAAAATCTTAAGAAACTAATATTCAGAATAAATCACATTAGATCGTTACAATATTTCAAAAGGGATAATTCTCAGGGCAAATACATTATGATTGATCAATCATAACATGATCTAAGTTTTAAATCATTAGAAATGGAATTTGGTCATCTCCGCTGATTACTAATTTACTATTTTTATGACACACTACTGACTCGCTTACAACCCGCTCATGATTCTGATCTATTACTAACGACTTATTATAGAAAACCCATTTCTTTGATAAAAATATCTATTAAATATTATCTGATAAAACTATCCGTGTTCATCGGAGCTGTTCTTTCTAACTTCTTTTTTTAATTTGTTCCTTTTTTCATTTAATGCAGAATATGGTGCATTAGAAGATATCTTGTTATCTCCTTGTCTTTCTCAAAAACATAAGAACTTTCTGCGTCAAATCAGAAAGGAATGTATTACGTACGTGTCCAGCGAGATTGAAGTAGCCATGATTTGTTAAATTAATCGGCGTTGCCTTTTTGGACTGGGCTTTCATTTCTATGCGCAACTCTCCATCGTTCGTCAGTTGGAAACTCGCTATCGCCGTTACTGATCCTGGATAACCCTCGTCACCGTCCGGACTGACCAAAGTCATCACCACACTATTGTCCTGAATTGTTGCATCCCATACCTTGAAACTCCAACCGCGAATACCACCGTGGAGGCTGTTCTCACCTGTATTCTTAGACACATTATAACGTTGACCATCCACAACAAAAGTTGCGTTGCCGATGCGATTTGCGACTCGTCCAACCGTGGCACCAAAGTATGGATTATTCGATGAAAGATATCCTGAAATATTGTCTTTCTCAATCGAAATGATTTTATTCTTCATAGCAACTTTAATTTACAACTTTACTTTATGAATTTTTGTATATAAAACTATTTTTATGTCAAGCATATTAACTATTATAACTGCAGAAATATATTTCATACTTTAAGGAGGTTCTCGCGCTACTTCCTAGTCAATAGACAGTTTATTCACAATAATATGTAAAATAATTAAAATAATGGAATAAAAAGGTTACTAACAATATCTTATGCCATTATACATAATTATTGTTAATTTTATATGTTACTAAATATTTTCAAAATATCAAAATAAAAGTTGTAAGATGCTCATTTGATGTATACGCATCGTCTATTTGACATATATTCTAGCTTTTTTCATTGAAGAATATAAATTTCTTGTAAATTGTACGATCAGTTTAAATGAACGAGAACAAACTGAAGTGTTTACTTTATAATTATAACGATTTTTAAATCGCTGTCTTATATGCAAATGTCTCAATTTAAAAGAGAATAACTACAGAATAAGGTTATACCTTCAACTTGTAATGTAAAAAATTCTATAAATTTAGAATTAAATATCTCCAAAATGATACGGTAAAAGTCAATGAAATTTTTTCTAGATATTATTGATATTATTAACTTTTGCATTACATGTATATTATAGACTTGTCTTATTTTTCATCAAACGCGAGAACCTCCTTAAAATATTGTTGATACTTTAAATTAATGTATTTTTTACATGTGTAACTATTTTAATTTATTATATTTTGTGATTATAGTTCCTAAAATTATTATATTAATTCTGTTACCAGTGAATATATTTTGTTATAATTTTATTTTAATTTTTATATCTTTAAAAACAGACCAAGCAATGATAAAATCGATTTAATAGAGCGAACACCTTATCAAATATTTGTTCATATAAGTAAAAATTATAAAAATACCTTCGATGTTGTCAAAACCGAGCACGACGTCCGCTATGTTTCCTTTTCTGTCTGGCGTTCTAATGTTGGTCACCGCCGCACCATACGTTATGACTTCGACCTCTTGACAAGCTTCATTTCTCAACGTAAACTTCTTGATTTCTTGACCATTTACAGAACCCCACGTTGTAGATGTAATGGATCCTCGCGCGATCGCAGCCATGCTCGTCCTAAGTAAAGACAATAGATTGGAGTTCAAACTTCAAATCTCAATTGGAGTAACAAATCTCAACACGAATGTAAACGTTTCTTGTAAAAATCGATAGTTTCTACATACCTACATTTATCGATTTGTCTTCGATTTACAGATGTAAAATGTGAAGAGGTGACTTGGAACTGTGCACTAAAAGTATTTAAAAATAGATTCCATCATCGGCACCTCACACTGTTATCGCGAAAATAAATTCTAATCTTAATCGATGCTTATTGGTGGCAGCAAAATACATATGTGTTGTTATTTTGGTTCGCATATCGTAAAATATCAGTAAATTGATAATGTCGCAACGATGCAATTCTTATCTCAAGAAAATAAGCAGATTGCGCACATAAACTCATTATGTAATAAGAAACACAATAATACTAATATTCAATATATTGCAACAAAATTATTTTTAGTAGTGAAAATTTTTTAAAAATATAATTTACCTTTGATCTATTTCTATATTTAATTATAATTTATCTTTAATTTATTTCTATATTTAATACCGCGTTTTTCCGAGTTTGATTAAAAAGTTTGCAAAAAGTTCTATATTTGATAATTCCGAATTTTTCGTTGAATTAAAAGAAGCAAGGATATATTTTGGCTTATAATAAATTCTATATTTATTGTCAATAAAGCATCAATAAAATGTGATGTATTATGTACATATATATTTATTCACAGAACATTTTTTATCGCGATGAGAATCTTTGTTGTATAGAAGATGCAAAAATAAAATAAATAAGTGTATGCTTCTTACCCAAGCCAGGAAGAGAAGGTCAGAAATATGAAGAGGCACAACATTGTTAATTAAAAATTTTAATAACTGTATCCGTGCAAGCTATGGACGTGTTCTACAATCTGCAGCACGATATGTCTTAGCAAAATGTTTTTCTCGATTTTTTATTTACACTGTATTAAATTCGCATCTTTGTTTTTACAAGTGCCAAGTATCACACGACTGACTACGCACGACTGACCATGCACGACAGGTTTCCATCAATATTTGCACAAGGTCGTACTTATTAGAAAGGTCTTTTCTTGGAAGAGATAACAAGCTACACAGGTAGAGAAAAAAAATGACGAAAAATAAAGACTAAGCAAATTTCATAACATCATAAAATCGCAGATTCTTAATTTTCAAACAGTGATCAATTTCAGAACGGTCAAATTTCTTTTTTTATTTTAATCCAATCATTCTATTTTCTCATGCTGTAACGATTGAAAAAAATTAGAATTAACTTTTATTCTAATTTTCTTTGTTTTATGTTTAATTATAAAATTTTAATTAATTGACATAAAATTGTTTTTAAAATGCAGATAATATTAAAGTATCTAATGAGAGATCATTTTTTTACATTAAATCTTATGAAAATGTGAAAAATGCTTCAAATAAGATTACTTTTATAGGTACTTATATAAAATATACTTTTGCAGAAGTGTTATAATAAATAAATTATTTTTGTATTATGCAAAATTACAGGAAAATTATTTTTATCAAGGATTTGTGTCTATAGCACAAGGCTTTTGAATCTCTCGACGTCATATCATAGATACTTTGGTAATATTGTTTGCATGGCAGTTTGAGAAGTTGTACATTCGGCAAGTGATACTTTTTACATTCCTAAGATATACTGCCATATTTTTTATCTTTGTCAATATATTAATCCTAATTAATTTCCTTGGTTTTTGATTCAATCACATTTATCAAAGCTGCTGTGACAAGCATTTCTTCCTGAACATTTTTGAATTGCTGATTAATATCTTGAGTAGCTATTTGAATTTCTTGCAGATGCTGCAACAGATTCAAAACATTTTTAACAAAAGATGATAATGTGCTTGAATATATTTCCTAGTCCATTCAAAAGTAGCGCTGACCATCTTTATGTTCTTGTAAAGTATCATTTCTTGTTCCTGTGTAAATGGCTCACTGTAGGATTGCATAGAAGACGAGAATGACGAGCTGGCCATGGCATGAGGATTTGCTTTAATCAATTAATCTAAAAAAAAAACAAACCTATAGTCCAATCTACAGTCACATTCGACATTCAAGAGGTACCTACTTCTTGTTTTGAAATCCTCCGTTTGGAGGAAATAATTAGTGTATCCTATCGCTCCTTATGATACTTTGGCACAGAACCTATTATTTCCAAATTCTTTCCTTCTCATCTAGTTATTACTGTATTTCTTATCACATTATTTTGTCTGTCCTTTTAATAAATTTGTATATATGTATATGAACCTGTACTGTACCTACTTCTTCTGTCCTACCTAGGGCCATTTTGACCAACTTTGATTAAAGGTGCTTCATGTGCAGCTTGTGCGTTGCTACGTTTACAACTTAAAGCCTGATTTATAATGCGGGGTCTACAATAGAAGTCGTATGCGTGGTCTACAATGGGCAGTAGCAGTAGTGAATTAAAGAGTAGGTGCAGAAATCGACTAATCGTAGTTGATTATCTTTCTCACATTCGATTATGATTGGTTGATTTCTGCGTCTACTCCTTAATTCATTACTGCTACTGCCCATTGTAGACCACGCATTAGGGTCTTAAGTCATAGAAAATTGACCAATCACAGTCGAATATAAGAAGAATAATCAACTGTGATTGGTCAATTTTCTACGACTTAAGACCCTACGACCGCTCGACTTCTATTGTAGACCCCGCATTATGCTGGTGCCGGTAAAGTTCAACCATAAGATTTCAATGCTTTCGTTCATACTAATCCGGCAAGTTAGTATGAACGAAAGCATTGAAATCCTATGATTGAACTTTACCGGCACCGGCATAAGTTAACGGTTACGACCATTATAAATCAGGCTTAAGGCTGCGTTCCGTTTCACGCATGATGCGCATAATGCATCTTTTATCCTTGTTATTTACCGAATGTTAAACAAGGATAAATAATGCATTATGTATGTACATACATCATGCGTGAAACGGAACGCAGCCTTAAGGCCGCAGCACAGACTCTTGCATAACGCATAGTGCATAAGCGAATCAACTAATCAGAATCTTTCCTTTCCTCCCATTCCATGGAAAAGAAAAATTTCAATTGGTCGATTCCCTTATGCACTGTGCATTATGCGTTATGCAAGAGTCTGTGCTGCGGCCATTAAGTTTAGCGTTAGGCCGGAATCAGACCATTAAAGATTGAGGTTGACGATTGAAGATTGAAATTTGACCAATAAGGACAAAGAAATTTTAGCTCCTTTCATTTTTATTGGTCAAATTTGAATTTTTTAATCTTCAATCTCAATCTTCAATGCGTAGTCTGATTCCGGCCTTATGCGGGGTCCACAATAAAAGTCATAGCAGTCATAAGGGCTTAAGTCGTAGAAAATTGACCAATCACAGTTGATTATTCTTCTCATATTCGACTGTGATTGGTCAATTTTCTACGATTTAAGATCCTACGACTGCTACGACTTCTATTGTAGACCCCGTATTAGTGATATTACGCGTAGCAAGCAGCTGATCGCAACTAAACACGAAACATAAAGCCCATGGCACATACAAAAACGTAAGGCCGTAAGACTTAAACAGTAAGGAAATCGTAACATTGGATTCGCTACTGGCCTTACGGTCTCTACCGTGATTGGCCAATTCGCTTATTGATTACGTCTTACAGCCTTACGTTTTTGTATGTGCCATGAGCTTAAGATGGTATTCCTAGGCTGGTATTCATAGTCAGTTCTTATATTCAAGACCGTCTTAAGTTCAGTCTTGAGATGTCACGAACCAATCAGAGAACTGTATTAGCATCTTAAGACATTACCTAAGACGGTCTTGAAATAAGATCTGACTATGAATACCGGCCTAGATAACAGAGAGGCTATTATTAAAACAACCTTGCTATTATTAAAACAACCTTGCTATGTAATAAATAAACGTTTTGACCTTTATTAGATCTTTAAATATTAGAAGAAAAAACTAAACATACTCTTAACGACATTTATTTTATCATAAATAATTTAATATACATTACATTTATATTTTATTTGTCTTATATTATTTTTTGTTTTATTTTATTTTAATATTTTCTTATAACTATTAATATTTTTTGCTACGACCTGCGGGATCTGCGAGTCCATCTCCGTGATCGTAGCTTTAAATTAAATTTATTTTGTCTTTCGTTTTCTCCCTACAAAATCAATGTTATATTTTATTTCATCGTTCCTTCTTTCGATTCCTTCTCTTAAGATGCTATCGTTGCTATTAGCCCGGGTTAAGGCCATTATACGTAAAAAATTTTAGTTGTAATCATAAGGCCGTAAGTAAATCGGCTAATCACAGTCGAGCGTTTTAAAACGCGAATTATCTTAATTTCGGCGAAACGTGTAAACATACCATCTTGAACAAAAAGTTCCCGGAATTACCACCAGGTGATGCTCTGAGTCAGATGATTTGAGTTCTGTTTTTTTGGTTAGGTTGCCACATCTATCATTGACATTTCCACCAAATTTTATCGCCATAGCTTGACATTTGTAAAAGTTACGCCGTCTTGAGTACATCTACCTCTGCACGGTTTTCGATTTTTTAGTTTTAAAAATGGAGTTGAATTTGCAACATCTGTGAATTATTGACCAAGAACGAAACGAATACCATCCAACAGCCATCGAATTCACCCGATATGGCTCCCTGCGATTTTTTGTTCGATCGAGTCAAAAAACCACTACGGGGTACGCGTTTTAAGCCAAAAGGAGGTAATGGAAAAATCGAAAACCGTGCAGAGGTAGATGTACTCAAGACGGCGTAACTTTTACAAATGTCAAGCTATGGCGATAAAATTTGGTGGAAATGTCAATGATAGATGTGGCAACCTAACCAAAAAAACAGAACTCAAATCAGCTGACTCAGAGCATCACCTGGTGGTAATTCCGGGAACTTTTTGTTTAAGGTGGTATGTATGATATGTGTATTTAATTAATCATTTTGATGCATATTCTACCAATTTAGTACATCATTTTTTAAATACATTGCTCAAATTAAAATAATTTAAGAGAAAGTTACTAGTTAATACGCTTATTAAGCTCGGTGTAAAAGGGGTCAGTGAAAATCGACATATTTATTTTAACTCAAATTGATAGGCAAATTCTGTTGTCAGATTCGGATTCAGCGCACAAAATTACATAGGAAACCACTCCTTGTTCAAAGTCGATTCTTATTTTAAGACTGTTTTAGGCTACGGTTCACTTGATACTACAAATGCTTCGAAGCATTTTTTAATTGGTCAATTAGTAAAATTCTTTGTTTCGATTGGTCAGTCAAACGCTTCGAAACATTTGTAGCGTCAAATGGATCGCACCTGTAGAGATACATAATTATGGTACTTACGACGCCGTTTTTCAGTTTCTTCCTCTATCCATTCCCTCATTTCTTCGTCCAAATCGTTTAACGATTGGACGAAGACGATGAACTAAACATAAGAAATAAATATAGATTAGTTTGAATGTACCTATTTTAGTATAAGTAGGTAAATATTTTAGATTTTTATAATTTATTTATTTTATTTAAAGTTAATTAAATTTAAAATGTAGATAAAAGATTTTGATAAAAAATTAAAAAATTTAATTTGTATTATAAAATATATCTTACAATTAAAAATATACATAAACATTTACAAAAATAAGTTAAAAATTTATATATAAATAATTTTTAATGTTAATATTTATAATAATTCAATTTAATAGGTTAAATTTAGTAATTTACATAAATTAAAATAATAATGCTGAATACAGTGCCACTTTATTTAATTAATAAATAATTATTAAAAATTAAAAGAGACAGTAGTTATTTTATAATAAAAAAATTATTTATATGGTGAAATATGTAAAAAATTTAAATATCAAATCAGGATAAGTTAAGAATTAATAATGAATTTATTATATAAAGCTAATAGCGTTCGCTGTCATATCCAACCCACTTCTCAGGCGATGCAAAATTGTAAAGTTATAGTTGTATATTAATAGTATTGCCTGCATTTTTAGCATGTAAAATTTTTTGCTTTCTCTTTCTCAAATGTATATTTATCTCTTAGGACGCTTTATGACTAGTATACCTGCTTATGAAAGAAGTATAATACTTACGTAAAAATGTTTTATGGGCAGAATTTCCAACGTTCTAAGAGGTATTATATCTGTGTCAGTGTGTGAATAATATCAATATATAATAAACACGTACGCACGCACGCACGCAGATATTTTATACATTATGAATCAATTATTAAAATTCGTTAGGAGCTCTTACTCCAGAGATGGCTAAGGTTCGCTGGAAATATTTACGAGATAACTATATGAAAGCTCGCAAAAAAGTCAAAAACTATATTCCGTGGATCGACAGCTGAAGCCGCTAATATAAAAAACCTAAAGGTTTTATGATTTCATGACATTCTTAAATGACGTTTTCGGGACACGGCAGCAAGTTTTTTTTCTTCAGTATGCAAAATTTCACCACTTTTAGTCAATTTTACAAGAATAACAAGTAATGGAGACAATTTATTTCATGTTCTACGCATTTACATTGGCTGATCAAGCGATTGAATCTAGTTACATATTTCTACTATAAGATTAAATTTAGCGTTACTTTTATCGTTTGGAATGTATAAAAGCAATATTCTGATTGGTTTTACAACTTACATTAACGTTTTATAGTTACGGTTATGAAAATTTGTGTGCGATTGTCTTCAGTCCATTCTTATTTCAAAATCATCTATTGTCTGAAGATGCTAATACGGCTGTATAATTGAATTATGTTATAAGACCACTTAAAATGATCTTAAGTATAAGAACGAATTGTGAACATCGGTCATAAAATACTGTATATATAAATGAATATTTATTCCAGGACTGTCAGTTCATTATCAGACAACGTTGCTGAAAATGAAACATATAGAACACCTGAGCAACATGAGGATGATCGAGCTTCATCTTCAGGGTTCACCGATACTTCTTCTTGGACGCCGACAATCCATGCTTTTTCACCGATGTTGACTTCTGCTCGTGTACAAACGCCCACACCAACTCCTGTTACTACACAGACTTCGACACCCAACAACATTCCTCTACGAATGCCATCAACTCTCAATGTGGCTTCGCGAATATCGGCCATAAATTTGAAAAATTAGTAGTTTATTAATATATTTTTCCTCCTGTTTCTTTTGACGGTAATAACTTTATACATATCGAAATATGTATTACTACAATAATATTGTTACCTTGTTTTCAGAATCTCTGCAAACTACTGATTGTGATTTAGATATACCTCGGCAAACTCCCGCAGCCAAAAGTAAGTCACGATTTAATCTGTTAAAAACTATCTAATGTAGCAACGATTAAATATGAAGCTCCTGGAAGTCATTTTCTCATTGAAAGTGGAAATAATAAATTTTCGATTAAGCGTACGGTGAAAAGTTGTCAATTAAAATTTTTTATTTTAATATTGTACTTTTTTGTTAGAGATTGGTATTGCGTATTTGCGTGAATGTTAACATGATTCGATTGATATATTCGTTGCATACATTATATTTTAGAGCGAAAGAGCAACGATTTTCAAGCAGCTCTAATAGAGGCACTTAAAGAGCTTACAATATAGATTACTGATCCATTAGATGGATTTCTAGCAAGATTAGGAGAAGGCATGCGAAGGCTGCTATACCGTGACAGAGCTCGTCTGGAAATTGAAATTTTGACGTTACTCGCGGAGAAGGAAAATTTGTGTATTAAGGTATTATTAAGGTATATTGTGTAAGTTACAGAACCTACTGCTGCAGGCCTATTCTGTAACTTTTTAACGACAATTTTATTAGCTAGGGATGTCGTTACGCAGGTATTTTACATGATAAAAAAACTGCGCAACGACAATATAACGTTACCGAACTGTCGTTAAAAGTTCAGAATAGTCGAGGAATACGTTACAAAAATCATATCCATGATGTAAAGATACCAGGTGTCCATTCCTGTGATTGCGCAGTAGCAGCACAGTATATACAGTAGCGCAACTCTCACGATTTCACCGTGAATAAAAATGAACTGCACATGCGCGAGCGAGGTATGTAACCAATCAGGCCACTTATATTCCATCTCGCTTCTTCTCTTTATTGTCGCTATCTGTCTGCACCGTTGAAATGTTCATATAAGGGATTTAAATAGCCATTTAACGGAAAGTGACAGTTTTGATTAATTATAACTGATTAGTTTTCTCTGTTGAATGCAGCCATTATCAATTAGTTAACGTAATAGGTACGTTTCAGCGGAACACAACAGTTTTGAAACCATTTTTATGATTGCTGTGTGCTAAGATAGAATCCACCAATCCTCTAGATCTAAAAGTATAATACAATCAGCGCAAAAAAACTTCCAACATTTACGAAATAAACGCTAAACGCAGTTATTTTTTATTCGTTTTTTAAAATAACATGTAACAGGTTTAATATTGTTGTGATTTGAGATATAGTAAATTGAATTAGTCGAATAACTGGACTTTATCTGACAAATATAAGAAGAAATTTAAGTAATAAATTTAACACCGTTTTTTTAACAGTAAAGAAAGAATATTTCAAATTGGAGATTAAGTAATATCGATCAGTTAAAATAAAACGGATTGCTATATTATTATTAGTTCTTATTACGTTTATATTTTGTAACTCTGACTATCATTGCAAATAAAAAAAGGTTAAGTATAAGTACGAATCTTATATTTCCTGAGAAATAAATTTATATCTATCATGTTTCGTTTCTATTTTATTTTCTGTTTTAAATATAATGTATATTGTGTAGGTCTGTTATTTTTCGAAGGTTCTGAACTTATTGCATCAGTGTACACCAGTTCAGAACTTACAGTGGAAAAAGAACAGACCTTATGCAATAAAGTAGAAAAAGAGAAAAGGTTACAACAGAGAGAAGAGGTGAGATGGAATATCAATGCCTTGATTGGTTACATACCTCGCTCGCGCATGTGCGGTTCATCTTTATCCACGCTGACATCAAAGGTGCCGACAGAGAGTTGCGCCACTGTATATACTGTGGTAGCAGCGTGAATTGAGGCAAAAATTTGATTGGCTATTCCAATAGGCCAGCGTTATTATACGCAGGAAAGGACATTGAGGCAAAAATGTGATTGGTTGTTTCCAGTATTGCTATCGCCATTATGCGCAATGGAACACCTGGTATCCTTACATCATGATCGACGTCGCATAAATTGAACGGGAGCTTTGAGGTTAATGAATGGATTAGTACTTTCTTGCAGGATTACCAGATGCATATAAATCTATGATAATGGGTATCGAGAACTCGAATATTCCTATCACCAGGGATTCAATTAAAACAAAATTGCTACAGGAGGTAAAGGACGACGTTTGTCGTAAGTCATCGAACGACGACACAGCACTGCAAGTTAAACTAAAGGATTCTTGGAATGAAACGAATGTTTCTAAAAAACCTAGATGTTATAACTGCAATAAATATAGCCACTTTTCAAGAGATTGTCGCAGCAAAAGAAAAACGAAGCCAACGACACAAGAACCGAAGTTAGCAAACACTGCAACAAACTCCATCTTCTTTATGGCTCTCAAAGTGGATAATACAAATTCCACAGATTGGTACGTAGATTCTGGTGCATCTGCGCATATGTCTAACAATCCATGTGATATGTCGTTGTTAAAAATCCCGTTTACTAATGAAGTCATTGTAGCCAACAATGAAAGTGTACCCATAGAAGCGATGGGAAGCAAGTAAATAGATGTTCTTGCTAACGATACGAAGAAGAGCACTAATATAATGGACGTCCTTGACTACTACAGTCTCGAAGACGACAACCAGGAAGATGACGATACTCAGCCGCAACTACCAAAACCTCCGAGAAAATCTTCCAGAATTCCGAAGTCTAAATCAATGGATGACTTCATTATTGGATAGAAGAAATACCAATAATTGACCCGACATCTATTGAAGAAGCACTACATTGCGAAGATTCTGAAAAATGGTTAAAAGCGATACGAAATGAATTACGGTCACATGAAGAAAATCATACGTGGGAATTGGCAGTTCTTCCCCCAAACAGGAAAGCAATTAGTGCTAAATGGATTTTCAAAAGTAAGAGAGATGCGAATGATAATATCATAAGACATAAAGTGCGTCTAGTCGTAAAAGGATGCGTTCAGAAGAAAGTATTAAAATACGAAGAAACTTACGCACCAGACCTAATTAGATATAACTTTCTCAGATACCTGTTCAGATTTGCAGCAAGATATAATTTGGATATCGACTATTTAGACGTTGTGACTGCATTTTTTCAAGGTGAGCTAAACGACGAGATTTATGTTAAAATTCTCATAATTGATCAGAACGCAAAAGCAGTAAAAAATGAAGCTGTTTATAAACTAAACAAGGCTGTCTACGGACTGAAGTAAGGAAGCTGTTGCTGGAACCAAAAACTCAATAAAGTGCTGACAAATCTCAACTTTAAGAGATCAACGGCGGACCCGCGTGTATATCATAAAAATCAAGAGAATATTCTAATTATCGCAGTATATGTAGACGATATGTTGATATTTAGCAATAACCAATAACAAAAGCGCGTTGTCAAAGAACAGCTTCAGAAAGAATTTAAACTGAAGGATTTAGGTTAGAAGTTACAAACTGCCTTGGAATACGAATAACAAAAGATTGCCATCGAGGTTTACTGTGGATGGACCAGACTATCACTATCAGACTATTGATCAGCTTCTAGCCAAATTTAATATGAGGCATTGTAACTCTATTTCAACTCCTCTCGACAAGAACCACACACTAACTCATGAGATAAATCCAAAAACAGATAAAGAGAGAGATACCATGATACTAATGTCCACAACCGACATGCCTCTAAAATCCGAGATGACTTTGCATCGTACTTCGAAAATACCGGGACAGTGTCTTGGCAGTGGGAAAAAGTTGCTCAATGATTTTTAATTGAAAAAAAATTCAGATTTAAGATAAGAAAAATTTAAATGAGTTGATTATTTCAGCTGAAGGAACAAAATTGATTTATTTTTATATAGGAATGAAAGAATGCCACAATTACCATAGGATGCCACGATTGCTACTATCAAAAGAAAAATTGAATTTACATATGTTCCTGCGTTTCTGAAAAGACGGTGCCAAAAATTAAAATATTTTGTAAGCATTTTATTTAATAAAAAATAAACGTATGTTTATTAAGATCATAACATTTAGGTTACATTTTATGACATTATAAAAAATAAACATTACAAGAAAATAATAATCTTTCATAAACTAAAATGTACATACTTAATCTCATAATTATAATATTATAATTATAATATTATAATTATGTATTATGTTATTTTGAGCAAAAATGAAAATGTCTTCAGCTAATAATGTATTGGTAGTTTTATACTTGGTCGTTAATACACAAATTTTCCTTCTCCGCGAATAACGTCAAAAATTCAATTTCCAGACGAGCTCTCTCGCGGTATGACTGCTTTCTCCTAATCTTGTTAAAAATCCATTTAATGGATCAGTAGTCTGTATTGTAGGTTCTTTAAGTGCCTCTATTAAAGCTGCTTGAAAATCGTTGCTCTTTCGCTCTAAAATATAATGTATGCAACGAATATATCAATCGAATCATGTTAACATTCACGCAAATACGCAATACCAATCTCTAACAAAAAAGTACAATATTAAAATAAAAGATTTTAATTCACAACTTTCCACCGTACGCTTAATCGCAAATTTATTAATTCATTTCCACTTTCAATGAAAAAATGACTTCCAGGAGCTTCATATTTAATCATTGCTACATTAGATAGTTTTTAACAGATTAAATCGTGACTTAATTTTGGCTGCGGGAGTTTGCCGAGGTATATCTAAATCACAATCAGTAGTTTGCAGAGATTCTGAAAACAAGGTAACAATATTATTGTAGTAATACATATTTCGATATGTGTAAAGTTATTACCGTCAAAAGAAACAGGAGGAAAAATATATATTAATAAACTATACTTAATTTTTACTAAATAAACTATAATAATTTTTCAAATTTATGGCCGATATTCGCGAAGTCACATTGAAAGTTGATGGCATTTGTAGAGGAATATTGTTGGGTGTCGAAGTCTGTGTAGTAACAGGAGTTGGTGTGGGCGTTTGTATACGAGTGGAAGTCAACATCGGTGGAGAAGCATGGATGATTGTCGGCGTTCAAGAAGAAGTGTCGATGAACCCTGAAGATGAAGCTCGATCATCCTCATGTTGCTCAGGTGTTCTATATGTTTCATTTTCAGCAACGTTGTCTGATAATGAACTGACAGTCCTGGAATAAATATTCATTTATAAATATTTCCAGCGAGCCTTAGTCATCTCTGGAGTAAAAGCTCCTAACGAATTTTAATAATTGATTCATAATGTATAAAATATCTCTTAGAACGTTAGAAATTCTGCCGATAAAACATTTTTACGTAAATATTGCTTCTTTCATAAGCAGGTATATTGTAGTCATAGAGCATCCTCCTTGTCTTCACTGTTCCAATCAAAAGTTCATTTAAAATATGATCCTTATATGCAGATGCAGGATTTTTCGTTAGCTTAGTCCTACCTATTAAACAAACGATGTTATTAGATAAATTATATTTAATTGTTATGATATATTAATGCTTAAAGCATTCATGCTCTAACAAATTTGTCGTAAATTTAAAGAGCCATCTACAATATCCACATTTGTGCTGAAAGAATCCAAGTATGCAATATGGACATAATGCATTAAAATGATGTAAAAAAAGCTAGAGAAAAGGCATTTTCGTAAGCATGTAAAAAGTTAATTAGCACTTCTTTCTTGATATTATGTTGAATTCATAGAAGCTAAACAAAAGGAGACCAAATTGAAAATTGTAAAAATTTCACATCTTCTGTGACATTTTATATTTTTTAAAAACATAAAATAATATGGTTTAATCAGAATAAATTAACAATAATAAAATAATAGAAAGGCTACGAGCCGAACAAGAACGTTTTTTTAATATTCAAAATATATAAACAATAAACATTGCAATAAACAGATGTTTCGACACCGATCGGGTCATTATCAATGTTAAACTAATTTAAATTATGACATAAAAATAGCAGTTATACGAACAATTTTATAGTCAAGTAAAACATAAAAAAAATCAATGCTTTCAGCCGTGTTTTAATTTTATTATTAACATTAAACGGAGATATTAGCCTCTTGCTTATGAATCAGTTCTCCAGTGACCACAAAATTACATGTAACGTATCTGTTAGTTGTAATTCCCCACTCAACAATATAACCGTAACATAACACATGTGTTATGTTACAGTTATATTGTTGAGTGGGAAATTATAATTAACGGGTATGTTACATGTAACTGTGCACGAAACACTACGATAACACGATGATATTCTAGACGATGAGATAGCACCGAGGTCGATAAATGGATGTATCTAACATACACGTGAATTTCGCTTCGCTGAATACACAGAACAGAGATAAATCGGAATCGCAGTTGCTTCAGGTAGATTTTCTCAATGTTTTTTCTACCGTTGTACAATACGTTTCGTATAATTGTATGTACGCCGAGATTAATTTCAGTCCGAAGATATTTTCAGATTTTAGCTCCAGATAAAATAGAACCTTTTTTAACCGAGTGGTTGAAAAATGACGTTCTAATACTTGTTGCAAAAAGAGATCAGACATTGTCGGGTCACAGACTCGGTTTTAAATACTTATACCTCTCGATTATTCAGCATCGAAGGCTAATACAAAAATGTATTCTCGCATTATCGTTGCTTTGAAAACAATCGGAGATTCTATAATTGGAAATGATAGAGGAAGGTTACCGACATAGGTCTCCTAAAGCGACACTCCCTTATTTCTTAGAAACTAATCTTTGCACCTTATTAATACTAATAATAAAAACGTAATCTGTTTAGCTAATTAAAGAAGTACAAACTCATAATTCATATATTTATGGCTTATTTCTATACCAAATTAGCTAAAAACAAATTCTATGAATCAGAGAAGAAAATTCTTACGGTGTTCTTTTGCAAATTGCATAATTAAAATAATAGTGACTGTATTATTGATAATATTATGTTATTTTAAATGTTTATTGTTTCATAAATTAGTTTTCTTTTCAGAATATAGGATATATCTTTATTTATAGAATAGGAATGTTGGCATTATTGCCTACTATGTCAGTTTTGGAGTCCATTTTGTCAGACGCTCATTTTTGCATAACTTACGAAAAACTTAATTATTGCAAAATTGCAAACAATATTACAAAAACTACCTATACTATCTGATAGGAGACACTTTTTAGTTTGTATTTATGTTTTTGAAGTTGTATTTTTACCTTTTGTTTAAGAAATATTGTCTAAAAACAAAAGTGGTATATCGGTATCGATGACCTTCCTCTATTATTCTTTAACACGGAATTATACTAAGAAAAAAACAAACGTTTCTCTTACATTATACATTGTAGAGATCAGAAATATCAATAGCAATTCTTTGAGTTTTCAGCGGATAATATTTTTCTAACAGAAAACGTTTTGTATGAAGAAAGCTCGAAAAATATTATAAAAAAATAAAATGCTTTTTACAAAGACCCAATTTTCAGATCCAATAATCTCAAAGTAAGAACGATTTCAAGCTTCAAAGAGAAAGATAGTCTATAGAAAAGAAGCAATAGAAATCGTCATTGCTTGAAAAATATTTTCGTTGCTTCTGTGACGGAGTCTCGCATGAAGAGAAGCGGATGCCGAAATTGATCGGATGCTTGTGATTTAATACGAAAGCGAGTGTAAGAAATAAAACGAATGAGAGAGAAGGAAAACGTCGCGTCCACTTACATGCCTGTCATGTGCTGACCGGCAACACTGATTTTTATCAGAGTATCATCCCCCGCAACCCATGGTGTGATCTGACGTATCGTGCTAATTTTTATTATTAAGAATTAATATATTAGAGACATTTATCTTTTTATTTATCTTTTTATTTTTCACAGTATGTCATTCTTTCTTCATATAGTCAACTAATATTAAATGATTCTGGTAAATTTGGGGAAGGGGGGCTGTGATGAGCATGAATACTAAATAGTATTTATGTTCACTATTATCATGCACTTTTAAGTTTACTACTCTCTTGTACATATGATTTTATTATCTTAAATTTTTATGTTCATTGCTGTCTTGTATTTTTAGGATGTTTACTTTAAATACGCCCAGCTACACGGATCGATACTGCCAGCCAGTGTTGCTGGATGGGCGTTTCTGGCGCATGCGCGTCGGATGTAACATCAATAACGTACTCGCTACTCAAGAAGACTAGAACTAAGGAGGACATCAACTCGTGTGGTGGGGGTGAGTCAAAAAACGTCCGCGGCTATTCACACGATGTGCAGCGGCACTGCGCATTGTGTGAAAGTTCGATATAAGAGCGACAAAGTGACGATTATAGAACGATAGAGCGACGACTATATAGAGCGACAGAGAGGACTAATGAAGCGCAAGAGTGGGGGAAGTTATCCATCGCCACTTTTTGCCTCACCCCCACTACCGCTATTGGCACGAGTTGATCCTCCTTAGTTCTAGTCTTCTTGTCGCTACTGATAAACAAGAGTTTCGACGCGCATGCGCGAAGCATCCAGCAACACTGCTGCCGCCTGTCAGCCAGATGCAACACTGAAAATCGAATCGATACAAAAAATGAATCTCCCCGGATATACATTTGCATGCGCCTTTCGCTTTCTCTCTCACTTCTCTCTGCCTGCCGACCCTGCCCATTGAGGGCAAGATCGAATAAAGCGGATCAAATAAAAAGGGATTGTCGCAACGAAAGCGCAAGGATCGACGAAAGAGATTCCGTTGAATCGAATAGAAGTTAGAAACATAGGAGCGGTGATTAATAAGATAATAAGACACGCGAATTAGAGAACTCGACAGAGGATTTTGCCCGCCGTCGAACAGTCCGGTTCATTCATTGATGCGAAAGAAATTGTATCGTCGATGGTGAATAATAAACGTCAAAGAATATTCCGAACGCGGCAAAGAATGAAAATTTAATAAATCAATGCTGTCCTTTTAAGTTGAGTTTAATGACCCGGGGAATAATAATTCATAAAA